TATCGATAAGAAAGTGTACAAAAGAAATCCGTAAGTACGCCTGGCAACATTACCAAAGTCTTGTTTATATGTTGCTAGGATACGGGTAGGTATGCGGGCCGCTGCATTTGATTCTTCCTAAAATTCTGCTGGTGGTGTACTCTACCGGCAATTCGGAAATTTAAAACTGCCGGCCTATTCCAGTAGCGGTCTGTGGCGATAGCTATTTTGTCTGTGGTTAGACTAACAACGCGCGCCATTATTCCATGGCTAGAAATTGGCCTCAATGATTTGGGATCGAGGGGGATTACCCCTCTTTATCCTGCCTCATCTCGTGTAGGCCTGGACAGCCTTCGTAGGTGGGCCCCATCCGTCGTCTACCCCGACCGCAAATGCGGCCGGTGTAGGCGCTTTGTGGGACCTCCTTTTGTCCTGGCTGGGCCCCGCCGGCTAGGGCCCTTTCTTCTGGCGCTCTTCTTGCTTCGCCGGCTCGTCTGTGTAAACCCCGGGGGTGGTGTCATGTTTATGTGTGGTATGGTTGGGTAGGGCAGTGCGGCTATGCAGCCTGGGATGCGCTTTGCTAAGGTGGAGACTAACAGCAAATTATGACTTATTATGTCATATTGATTGTTGTTTTTAAGTTTGCTAGCAATTTCACAGCTATCCTCGCAAGAAATTGGATTATTTTAATTACTTATCGCAAAAACTTTCAATAACAGAACATTTATAAGAGGTTCGAAACTTCGAAAAAAGACCATATGTGCAGTTTTGTGACAAATTGAGATAATTACATTTTCGAAATCTACATCGCATTATACCCATCTATAAATATCAAAAATATTGTTTTTGTTTCTTTAAATTTAAAAATTTTTACATTTGAAATTTCTAATATTGTGACTCTTATTTTCTTCGTCGCTATACCAGAAAAAAACACCGTATGTGTCTGATGCGGCCTTATGTGCATGTATTTCATTAAGAGCTACGTGGTATATAAACGCCGCATGACTACATACGGCCTTCTTCTCTAGCAAGCGTTGAAATGCAATGTTTTTAACAAATTAAATTCGTATGTGTTCACATGCGTTGTTTTAAATTAAACAACAATTAAACATTATTTGCAACACCATATATTAAAAATTGTAAAATATCCAGTAAAAACATCCAAAATATCATGTATACGATGTACATGTTCTGGTTTTTCTATTAATTTCTGTTGAAAGGAAAATCTTAAATTTATTAAGACAAAACAACATATGTGACGCTGTTTTTATTGAAATTGCAAAGTTTTCTAACATTCTTGAAATAAATAAAAAATATTTGTTTTTCATTTGCCGTTACCGAAAAAATCAAGTTATTACCTTAATTAGTAAATGAATTACAGCCAAATGAAGTATGCATAATATCTTCTAATTTTCTCTAAACTGTCATATGTGCACATACGGTCTTCTTCCGAAGTAGGGCAGTATAGGGAAGTGCAATATGGGTAGACAGAGAATAAAATTCTACAACAGATTTTGAATAAATATATAGGGTGTTGCGGTTCGAAGTTAACCAAATTCAGCAATAAATTTTCATAAACCTGTAAAATTAAAGTTTTTAAATTAACTGTAATAAATGATAGGCATCCTCCTATCTCCCTCCCAAATATCAATACTTCGGCTTGCACGATGTAAAAAATAGTCAATTTTGAATTATTCTATCGAAAAGTAACTTTTTTTGATAGAATTGAAATATTTCGAAGACCATTAGAGACAGACATAGGAAAGCTTGATAAAAGTCCTCCTAAAATTACGCGTAGATTCCAAACATACAAAATTTAAAATAAGTAGTAGATAGCAACTTCTGGTATAACCGGAAGTGCCACAACAATGGAATTATTTTATTTAAAGAGAGCACCCCCGAAAACCCCAAAGCATAAATATTCAAAATTGAAATCGAAATAGTATCTGAAATATTCTAATGGGCCGTCATCGTAAGACGGCCTTTATACAGCCACACCAAATGTTGTAATCTACAAGCTTTGATTATTTTATATATTTTCTTCAACATGCTATTTATCATGTAAAAAAATAAAAATTCAGGGCATATATTTTTTTACAAATTTTTTTATGAAAATGTTCACATTAATTAGTAATTAATTAAAATTTACTCTCATTGGAATGATTAGAACATATGTAATAATTCCAAGACAAGCTCTCTTGTGTGGAAAAACTTCTCTTATGGGAAGCAATAAAAAACAAGTATTACCAAATCTATACTCTTAAATAAAAATTCTTCATTACCAACTCATCATTTAAGAAAAATATTTATGATGTTAATGTTGCATTGAGGGCAGACGATTTGACAGGTACCTGTTGCAAACATCAGACGAATTTCAATTATAAAATATACAGGGTGATTCAGTTATAATGTCATTAATTTTAACCATGTATTCAGAAGGCCTAATAAAGACAGACAATTTTTTCTCGACCTTTTAAACAATAAACAAATTACCCCTTAACTTCCGTTAACTCGGTGCTCCACTTCGTAATAGGGAATTCGTCGCGCTGCGCCGCGCCGGCGGAGTACACGGTGATCGGACGTTGTAGCGAAACAGCTGATTTCCCAGTCTTATCGTCTCGTCCAGTTTCGGAATTGCTTTCAAAATCAAAGTGCAACTTTATTAAGACTTTATGGATGAATGAGTGAGTGTTTTTTAGCCGTACTATCATTTTAAATAAGTAGGTATTGCACAACTCTGAAAAATAATATAACGCAATATGGTATACGTACTACAAACTGAACATAATATTAAAAAATAATATTCAATTATAAAACGTAGTGGAAACGTTAAAAATATTGAAAATACTAAATTGTACATTTGTTTTTATTAACAAATAAATAATACTCCTTAATATTTAACATGTAAAAAATATCTTATTCAGTTCCCTACTAAAAAGGCAGTAAAAGCTGGGTTAATAACCGCATATACGGCAGGTCAAGATTTATTTTGGTTAAACCTTTATGAGTCAGCGGTTAGGAGCGGTCCGAAAAGAGGCTTAAATAATGATGTGAAAATATTTTGTTCATCACATATATGCATTTTAAAATATTTTTAATCGTGTATTCGTGTTCTACTCATTTTTCCCTATCTTCTCTTTGAATTAATGACATTATGACTGAATCACCCTCTATATAGTGTGCTCATAAAGTAACTATACTTAACACAACATATTAAATAGAGTCTGACAATTTTTTTGAAACGCTTATTTTGTCCACTTTTTTGATTTCATATTACATATTTACTACAGGCTAACTTATGCATATACCTAAAAGTGTATGAACATTGGATATTTTTATAATATTTTAAAAATTTTATCTTAGAGAGGATGAAAGAAATTTACATTTTTTATTTTAACGCTTATTTTGCCCACTTTTTTGATTTCATTTACTACAGGTTAACTTATGCATATACCTAAAAGTGTATGAACATTGGATATTTTTATAATATTTTAAAAATTTTATCTTAGAGAGGACTAAAGAAATTTACATTTTTTATTTTAACGCTTATTTTGCCCACTTTTTTGATTTCATTTACTACAGGTTAACTTATGTATATACCTAAAAGTGTATGAAAATTGGATATTTTTATAATATTTTAGAAATGTTATCTTAAAGAGGATTAAAGAAATTTACATTTTTTAGAATTGTGTAAACACAAACACTGATAGTGTTTAAAAATAAATACATCTACAGGATGCTTCACAAATGTTGACCAAAAATGAAAACTCGTATTCTTTGGTGAATTTTAAGAGGAGGCTTAACACCCTGTATCTTTTTAACGAAGCGTTCTAGATAAAACTTTATAGGAAAGACTCCCCTTAAAATTCACCAAAGAATACGAGGTTTTCGTTTTGGTCACCATTTGTGAATCACCCTGTATATGGGCAATTGAGATTTTTTTTAAATAATTTTTGATAACTGAATTCGAAAACATATCTATTTTAGTTCCAAAGTTTTTCAATAAATACCTTACAGATTATATATGGCAAGTGATCAATTCAGTTAAGTTTCATAATTTTTACACACAATTAGAACAATTTCAAGAGAAAACGTGGACAGGTAGATGTAGGTTTATTTTGAAAAGTTCTTTGAAAATAGTACAAATATGATCACTTTCTATTAAAAAAGCCGTCGACACGTCATAGGTCATCTTGTATGCGTAAAACTGTAAAGAAAATAGGCAACACAATTAAGAATAGAAACCGATGTAGGTATTCGAGCATTTCCCTGAAAATAATTATGACTTTATTGAAGTTATGATCCATTTTATTGTACCAACTATATACTTTATTATTTGCATGCAACTTTCTTAAAATATAAAAACCAGGAGAGTGAATTATCAACATGAAGTTAATAGAGGAAATGATTCTGCAAGTTTTCACCCATAATGAATAACTAAATACAGGGTGTATTTTAATAAAATAGCACAAATGTTACTACAATCTTGATGTCTAAATATAATAATTGGGCTAAATATACTTTGGTTCAAAGTCGCTTTATTTGCGAATTACAGAATGGTGAAATTAAAGGAAATATGTTTGTATTTGTGAAATCAATGAACGAATTAATTTTTTTTATTTTGAAATAACTAATAAATTAATAATAATATAAAAACAACCCGTTGCTGGAGCTACGTATTGAGCTGAAATTGTATGTGCCAATAGAGAGTTATACTATTATATCTCATGCCAAAGAAGGTAATTGATTCATTGGTTTAGTAACAGACAAAAATATTTTCATTAATGTCAAATTAAGCAAAATGTAACTTGAAAATGAACCAACGTTGTGTTAAGGTATTGTGAACCTATTTCAAAATTTACCTCAAGATTATACCTATAGTAGCATTTGTGTTCCATCATTTAAATACACCCTGTAAATAACATAACACGATATTCTTTACCTCTTATCAATAAAAGAACGAAATAACATTTTATTAATGGTTTGCATTAAGTATTCATTTTTATTTTTTTTTATTTCAGCCTGCATGTGCATGTATTTTCTCCCTGTAATCCTGTAATCAAGAGTCAGCCTATAAAAATAGCAAATGCTTCCCACCAGTTCCAACTATTTACACGAATACGAGATTCGTTTAATAATTCGGTATAGAATAAGCCCAAATATCTAATTAAAATAGTTAATTTGGTACCTCTGTCAACAGCAAGAATGGAAATATGAAATAAAGAACAGAATATTTTTGTTTCTTGGAAAATAATTTTGCAAAAATTTTAAAATAATATTGCAGCCTGGATGCAAAGCCTTATTTCATTGCATTGTACATATAAGAGTACGGCCATAGTGAAGAGTCGAGACTTCAGATCCGGATAGAGGCTTAACAAGACAACAAGAAATATGCCTGACCCTGCCGTCACATTGAAGTGACTAGCCACCTAATGTATAAACATGTGTACAGATAGTGAAGACGAAATTCACTTATTCCAAGAGAATAAGAAATGTTCACTAGGTATATCAAAAGGAAATCGTTAGGAGAATATTTTCAAGAATTATGGGTATACTCGGTTGTATCAATTTCAATTATGCCCTTAAATGTAATTAGGGCAGTGGAAAAGTTTTTAGCATAATACAATTTGATGTCGATTAATTACACAGGGCAACAATTTTCACACCCAAAAACCAGACCTCACTTGCCCGAAGGTTTTTGGTATGCAGAATCCGAATCCTGGGCCCTAGCCGGCGGGGCCCAGCCAGGACAAAAGGAGGTTCCACAAAGCGCCTACACCAGCCGCATTTGCGGTCGGGGTAGACGACGGATGGGGCCCACCTACGAAGGCTGTCCAGGCCTACACGAGACGAGGCAGGATAAAGAGGGGTAATCCCCCTCGATCCCAAATCATTGAGGCCAATTTCTAGCCATGGAATAATGGCGCGAATCCGAATCCGGCGTCAGAATTGCTCCTATCTGTCACGTTTCCGAGATATCCTAACCTAAAAGTGTAAAGGCACGTTTTTTTTCTATATTTGAGCTTATATCACAGAGCGATTTTTTTTTTCTAAAAACGAATCATGCCCTCTAAAACTACCACTCTTACTCTTCAAAACGCTTTTATCAGATTTGAAAAATCTTTTTTATTCGCGGAGATATTGAATGAAGTTAGGTATTTTAGCGTTGGAGAGGTACTCGTTGCTGAAGAATGCTGCTGATGGAGTGACTTGCCAACTATCCTGAAAAAGATTGTCGTAGAGATACTCGCTGCTGGAAAAAACCGCCGATGGAGTGACTCAGTCACTTGCTAACTATCCTGAAAAAGACCGTCGAAGAAGTACTCACAGTAACTTGCGATATTTCAAAATTCTAACCTGGTGAAGCAAATCTGAGATCGAGCTGAAATTTCGTACACCTTGAGCTCCTGCTAAGAACGGTATGTTTTTAATATCTTTCATTAATGTTTGATGGCACTTAGGTTTACCTATCGTGTGTTTAGCATTCGCAGGTTATTGTGCATTTAGGTTAACCTGTCTGGGGTTTAGAGTTTGCAGGTTATTGTGCACTTGGGTTAACCTGCCTGGAGTGTAGCACTAGCAGGTTATTATGCACTTGGGTTAATTTGTCTGGGGTTTAGCGTTTGCAGGTTATTGTGCACTTGGGTAAACCTGTCTGGGGTTTAGTGTTTGCAAGTTATTGTGCACTTGGGTTAACCTGTCTGGAGTGTAAGTAGCACTTGCAGGTTATTGTGCACTTGGGTTAACCTGTCTGGGGTTTAGCGTTTGCAGGCTATTGTGCACTTGGGTTAACATGTCTGGGGGTTAACTTGTCTGGGGTGTAGCACTCGCAGGTCATTGTACACTTGGGTTAACCTGTCTGGGGTTTAGCGCTTGCAGGTTATTGTGTACTTAGGTTAACCTGTCGTAGGTAGGTAGTGGTTATTGTGCCCTTAGGTTAACCTGTTATGGGTGTAGTGTTTGCAGGTTACGTGCTTCTATGTTAAATGGCCCCGTGTTACAGTTATAGAGGTTACTACCGATAGTTCAGCCTAAAATTGTTGATTTTGCAGTTTTAGGTTAGGAAATCTCAGAATCGTAAAGCGTTAGAATAATTTGGAGGTCAGATTCGGATTGGGCGACCCAAAAAACATGTAAATATATCACTTCCGCTTTCTGAAGAACTTTTTTCAATTTTAGTACCACTGTTATGAAAACGCTAAAGTACCTAACTTTATTAAATGATTCGCGAACAAAAAATTTTTTTCAAATCTAAAAAAGCGTTTTGAAAGGTAAGAGTGGTAGTTTTAGAGGGTATGATTCGCTTTTAGAAAAAAAATTTCGCTTTGAGATAAGCAAAAAAAACCTGTTTTTTTTTGCAGTTTTAGGTTAGAAGATCTCGGAAACGTGACGTATAGGAGCAATTCTGACTCCCGATTTGAATTCTACGCACCAAAAACCTTTGGGTAAATGGGGTCTGGTTTTTGGGTGTGATCTTTCGTCAAATTTTGTTTCCCTGTGTTATCAATGAAAATGTTTGAAATGCGTAAATTTTGCAAAACGATGAAAGAATTTGTGGACAAAAACGATTGTACGTTTTTCCAATTTTTCTTTCAATCATCACTTTACAAATCTAATGCAAGCTACAACAAAATATTTCATACCTATAGTAAATAGCAACGGCAAAGTAAAACAAGTTAAGAGGGACTGCAGATCATCATTAGCAGATATTAAAAAAATATATTTGTTATACTCATACGGTGCGGAAAATTTTAAACTATCACAACCGGAAAGTCATTTATCATTAGTAAATAAATAATTTAAAAAAAAACCAAATACTATTTAATACAATAAAAAGGATTTTAATTTATTCTTCCCAGAAATGGGTTTTCAAGTCATATTAATTTGAAAGACTTGATAAACTTATCAATTTTGACTTTGAAATGCCTTTTTTTTATAATATTTCATGATAACTTTAATCATTTTACCTGAAACTGGAGAAAAAAGTGTAATTATAACATAAATTTAATTTTGAATTTGAATAACTTTGTACGAGTAGGTTTATCAAAAAATGGTAACTGACAATTTTTGTTCAATTCCCTACAAGAATACGTTTCGGTCATTTAAATCCGTCTATTGGTTTTTAAGATATAAAATTCTGAAATTAAAAAATAATTTTTCTCTTGTTATTTAAATGGAAAATAGAAAATTGCAACGCGCGACCTCTAAATATTAATATTAAGAGTTCCGATTTTTACAGGCATCTCTTCTCGCCTCCCTGAATCTATTTCAGAGGGTATTTTGAAAAAAAAATAGTCGATTTTTCTTTGATCAGCCTGATACATATTGTATACATAGCTCAAGTGAAACGCAAATTACTTAAAGCATGTACTAAATGGAAGAAGCATGCTTACAACGTAAGACGAGTGACAAAGAGAAAGAGATAATTTGGGTACTATCTTTTTCTCTCACGCAGGCACGTGATTGGCTAATGCTCGGACGAGGGGCGGTATGTCCCTACTCTTCCTCAACGATTAGAGAGAGAACAATTACCCAAACTATCGCCCTTTCTCTCTATAGCGTCTACACTTTTGAACACGCGCTGATTCCTTCATGTAGTATATGCTCTAAGGCAAATTATGTTTCTAACCCCTATGGCAATCCTGAAGCCTCGACGATCTACTACGGCCCCTATTAGAGCATATACTACATGGAGGAAGCNTGACCAGATTGCACGTGAATATAGAAGTATTACTATAGCATTAGTCCGAGCCTTTTCGTTTATTTGTTTATGAAAAGTATACGCACGCGAATGGATACGCACTATCTAGACGACGTATTATACAGTTTTTAAGCTTCATGGAGCTTTTACGCGACTAATAAGCATTTAAACACGTGCTTGACACGCATTCACATTATCAACTTTTAAAATCGAATATCTCGGAAACTGTCCATTAGCGAACTTTGGGCCCATGAAGACTTTTGTTGCTCATAACAAAAACAATCTATTCCCAAAATTTCATTAAAATTGACCGGACGGAGTTTCCCATAAGGTTTGTGCGGGGTCCTTTATTTTGAATTTGAATAACTTTGTACGAGTCGTTTTATCAAAAAATGGCAAGGGACATTTTTTGTTCAATTCCCTACAAGAATACGTTCTGGTCATTTAAATCCGTCTATTGGTTTTTAAAATATAAAATTCTGAAATTAAAAAATAATTTTTCCCATGTTATTTAAATGGAAAATAGAAAATCGCAACGCGCGACCTCTAAATATTAATATTAAGAGTTCCGATTTTTACAAGCATCTCTTCTCGCCTCCCTGAATCTATTTCAGAGGGGATTTTGAAAAAAATAGTTTTTTTTTTAAATCAGCCTAATACATATTGTATACATAGCTCAAGTGAAACGCAAATTACTTAAAGCATGTACTACATGGAAGAAGCAAGCTTACAACGTGAGACATGTGGCAAAGAGGAAGAGATAATTTGGGTACTATCTTTTTCTCTCACGCAGGCACGTGATTGGCTAATGCTCGGACGAGGGGCGGGATGTCCCCACTCTTCCTCAACGATTACAGAGAGAACAAGTACCCAAACTATCGCCCTTTCTCTCTATAGCGTCTACACTTTTGAACACGCGCTGATTCCTTCATGTAGTATATGCTCTAAGGCAAATTATGTTTCTAACCCCTATGTCAATCCTGAAGCCTCGACGATCTACTACGGCCCCTATTAGAGCATATACTACATGGAGGAAGCACCGTGTGTTAGTGTCAACGCTGTAGAGAGAAATTGTGATAGTTTATGTACTCGCTCTCTCTCTCTAATCGTGAGCGGAGCATAGATTGTATAATAGTATATGTACAATAGATTTAGCCAAAGCCGACTTTCTGTGCATATTGTAGCTGTTCCAATATGAACTGCAAAAGCGGAAGCGAATAATAAATGATGCCAAATTAAAAGATGATCCATATAATTTAAATAGAAGATGATATTTGAATAGCGATTAGCCCTAAGTCAGGTGACCTAGGATACTAATCGCGCGATATTGATTTAAAAAGAAATTATATTTCAGATTAAGAAATTGACTCTTTTTTTGGTGGTGACACAACAGTTAAAAAAATTGCTGTCAAATGTAATGGTTATAACAAATCGCGCGTGATAACCTTGCAAATGCCCTAAGTCACGTGACTCGAGACTAGTTTCATCTCACTTTACATCTTGGAACCTTACCCCCTTCTCTCTCTACATTCTATAAATAGTATACTGTCAAATCGATTGAATGGAGGGAGTTGCGTTCGTGCCTACGCGAGAGAGAAAGACAATATCCTAAGTATATTTTTCTCTCTCTGTCACTCGTTTACACTGTCGCCCAAAGTCTAAAACGACGTCATAAGATAGAGGCTAGGGACGATAGAGGCTAGAGACATGACTTACTCCTTAGCATCTGCGCCACCATAGTGGTATAGCGAGATACGGGTATAGCGAGATACGGGTATAGCTATCGCTGCACCTTGAGCCTATATTTGAACTGAAGTCTCCACCCAAGTCGGCTCTACACTCACAGTGTGGTCACGCCGTCAATTCACGACGTGAACCTCGTGCGACGAATATCCCCTATACTCTCGATTTATGCAGTCATCGCAGTGTCTTGAAAATGTTCCGATGGATTTTCGCTCTTCTGGTATGTAAACTCTTTGTTGCGGGTACAAAATACCAACACTGATCGGAGAACTAGAACGAAAATCATCGAACAGGCCCAAAAACCATATACGTGTAGTCTCGTTCTCGAATTTTCGTAGGTTTCACGTCGTGAATGCAGAGCCGGCTTAACAGGTTATCTGTGCGATGACACTCATGATTAACCAATAAATGAGCTGATATGAAATAAAGTTTTGCTTTGATGAGGATCTTTGAGGTTATATTACTGTTAGTTTCTAGAAGTTCTTTGTAATAATATGAACATTTGGCTAAAACAAATGTGTGAGGGGAGTAATGAATATAGCTCCTTGAAAAAACATACGTACCTGAGCAAATTCTTCGCATTTATCACATTAAGGGGACGTCATACTTAATATATTTAGTTCTAATATTATTATGTATTTTTTAAATGTATCTGAAATATACATATTTGTACATATATATTCGAAATATTTATTTATCCCCTCCTAATAGTGATGTAATGAATGCCAATTTTTAGGCATTCGCGAATGTGTATCTGTCATCGATATTCACGAATGCGAATGCAAATATTCAGTTTTCAAATTTGGCGCCATTTGTCTACGGCTAAAATTTGGCCGCTCACACGTACACATTTATAGTAGTTCTGGGTAGGTTACCAAAATCACTAACTCAAAATGTATACGATTTATTTTATTTTTATTTATTTAACCATTACACACAATACAAAAATTTAATGCATACTCCGCGGTAGAAATTATAGAGAGTAACTCATCGCTAGCTCTTGGACTACTAAGGAGGATGAAGCGTGCGGGGATCGAAAATCCATAGGCGTATGTATCTAGAAAGCAACAAGATGCAATAGACAGAGATAGAAGATAGATCGACGTTCAGTGTAAGACGATATAGACGATTATAGATCCTATCGAAGTGCATAGTGAGCGGCACATCATTTAATACAAGACAAATAATATTGAACCGTTATAAAAATCATATTATATTTTAATAGTGTTTTTATATTATGTCCGAGTCACTCTCTATAATTTCGATTGCGAAGTATAATAACTTTTTTCGCAGAATTGGTCTCTTCTTCAGAATAAACTTTAGACCTGGAGATTAAATCCTCTGGCTGGTAGATATATTTACTGTGTACACAGGTTTATAGCGTTCTGGTGCATGGTTAATAGCCATCGGCCCCTGCCGTTCTTGCCCTTTATTTTTGCGAATGAGTCGTTTCGAAATTTCAGGTAGTTCTAACCTTGATTGGAATTGGTTATCTTGATTCTTTTGGATTTCTATTGCCTCCCTGAAGAGTCTTGACCAAGATCTCTTCCCTCTTACTAGAATTCTGGCATTAATTAGCTTTATCGTGTGTCCTGTATCTGCTCTGTGCTATGCAGTTGTTGATTCTTTTTTCGTTGTTACAGTTGTGCTTCTTTAACCTTGTACTGACGTGCGTTTCCATTTGGCGAATGTATGCTTTATTGCATTTATACGAAATGCTTTATACACCAAGACCTTGGAGCAGATTGTGACTTCGTTTTGGGAATATCAGTCCCTATTTTGATTTAGGTGTTTTTGATGGTATTAATATTGTGTTTCCTTAAGATACGACCTATCTTGCCAGTACATCCTTGTATACAGATATGTTATTGCAAGGTATTCTTTTTCAAATGGCTTGTTCAGTATTCCTGTCCATGTGTTCATTTTCTTTAAGAGCAGATTGTACGTGCTGTAGTTTCTCGTCTAGGTATTGCGGCTCGCAAGTGACCTTCATGTTTACGGTAAAATGCTGACAATACCTTTCTGGGCTAGGTGGTAATGAGAATCAACCTTCAGATATTTATTCATGTTCTGTCAATCAATGCTAAAGGAAGATAGGGGCTGCCATTCCCAATATGAGCACCTACTTGTGATCTACTCCAAGTCTCCTGTGTATACAGTATTCTGAGTATGCGGACAAATATATACTGATCAAACGAAAAGACGCGTCAGTTAACGGAGCGCAAGTGTCACTTGGAGAACAAAATCTTCAATTGTGGAACACATGACAGATACAGGACGCCTAATACCAGAATTCTAGTGAAAGAGGTGATTTTTGCTAAGATTCTACAGGGTGTCAATATAAATCGAGAAGGAGGTAATTTTGATTGAGATGAGGCGAGGGGTTAGAACTATCGACTTAGAATTTGAAAATGACCTATTCGTAAAAATCAAGTACCGAAACAACACGAGCCAACGACTATAAACCATAATTTGGAACGCTATAGACACACACAGCAAATATAAATACCAGGCAGATGACGTAATCTCAAGATTCTTGTGAAGAAGAAAGTGATATGTCTCTTGAAATGTTAAGAAATAGAAACCGACGACGTGACAACGAGCCCGGAAATTGTTCACCTAATGACAATTGCCACGGAATTCTGTAAACCAAACGAACAACTGTTACGTTTAACGTTTTTTTTTTAAGATTTTGCCACATCTTGTTGTTAAAAAAAACACATTTTTCTAGGAGTAGAATTTTATTTCCTTTAAACTATAAGTCTTAGGTACATTTGAAAAATTATGGCCTTCGGGTTCGCTATTTCTTCAACCATGAAAACTGAAAAAAATTTACTAATAGGTATAAACTTTCATAGTCGTTATCTCCGAAGTTATTTTATTTCTAACATCGCCGTGATCTTCTAACTTTTCTTGATGTTTTTGTGCTCAAATTGTTGGCTTTTTCAGAAAGGGAAGAAGGAGAATATGAAGACCACGGTTGACACCAGAAAAAGTAACACCGCAGTATTCGGAACAGTAATCCGTCTTTGTCAAATTATGAATAAAATTCCCTGGCTTTCTGCTTCTACAGGTCAATACCATTTTAACGATACAAACTTATAACCAAAAGCCCCCAAGCTCAAGGCACAGAGTACCTAAATTTCCAAAAAAAATCAGTGGTGATCCTATGGCTTTCTTAAAATGAACAAAATCAAACACGTTTGTTAGCCGATATTTTTACTTCAATTATTTTGTTAGATGCATTTAACTAAATAGATTTTACGTACGAATATGTTATATTTTGGATATGCGCATGTTTGAAAAACACAAGATAGTGAAAACTGATTTCAAAAGAACCGAATTACTGTCCTGTACTGTGGTAAAGTCTACAGGGATGGCCAGAAGTACGAAATAAAATTCATATCTTTTGAATAACATGAACATAAAAAATATATCTTTTTTGCGTTAGCAGTGATAGGTACAGTTTCAAATTCAAATTCTTTATTTTATTCTCTGCAAATTCATGGGGGATAACACTGAAGATAATTAAATTTTATTTCACTTGTTAAGTAGGTGTTTTATACAACCCTAAAAACCTTGCTATTGACAAAATAAAACTTGTTTATTTGGTATGGCTGGATTCAGTTTTCTATAAGCATTTCAACGAGCCCCCTCACGCCTTGTTTCCATTTGAAAAAAAAGTAGGGGTAGCTGGGGGTTAGGGGGTTGAAGAAAAATTAATTATTATATAACCGAAAGATGGGAAAAAATCAAAATCAGTTAACGTGTTTCGGCGTTTTAAAAAAAAAATAACTCATTCAAAAGATATGAATTTTATTCCGTACTTCTGGCCATCCCTGTATAGACGAGCATTTTCTCGGGGTACTGAAAGCAAGACAATTTGATAATTTTCGACAAAAAAAGTCGATATGCTAATATAATCCTTACTATTTGAGTTCCACAAGAAAGCTCGTGTATAGTTTTTGTTTTCTAGTCTATGTTTTCTAATAATCTCTATAGCTTACGGTACAAAGTTGACCAGCGTTATTTGCCACATAGTCCGCAATAGATCTGGCTATTGGATCCGAAATAACGTGTTTTTTGATGTTTTTTTGAGATACTGAAACAGAAGGAATTTTCAAATATTTAGACAGATACCTAATTAAGCTTATTTTTTTTGTATTCAGGGGAAAGTACTTATAAACTGTTTCTTCAATATAATACAAAAGGTTTAATATTAAATTCTCTTTCGCATAAAATAAAATTTAATTTTTTTCCATTGTGCATTTTAAGTGATAAGAACTTATTTATTCTCGCGATAGGTACCTATTTTATATTTTAAAATGAAGCTAATAGTTAGCGCATGTGCTAAGAAATATTTATATGTTAACAAAGTCTAGCCTTGTCTAGTTAACTGTCTAAATAATTGTAACCACTGCAACCGCGTCAAAGTGGACCAAGAAGAGAAAAGAAGAGAATAACTAATGAAAGTGCTTAAATTAAATATTTTCCTGTAGTTTGATTTAATTTTTCGCTACTGACAATTTTAGGAATTAATTTTCAAATTAATTACATTTTGCAATTCATTACAATACACAATCTTAAGAAATAATTTTAGGTGGAAAATATTATTCCATTTTAAACAATAAAAAATCGTCCGGGCGTAAGTTCTTTATTTGATAGTCGATTGTTTCCTTCTACCAGTGGTGGCTCGTGACATTGAGCATAGGTGAAGCATATTCATTAATTGATTAAAAAGAAAAAAAAACGCGGCAGGCGAAAATTTTTAAAATTTCAAGGTCAAATAGCTTTAAATGAATCTGGAAATTTTTAGTTGCATTTGCAATATTACCGAAAAACTGACGTTCGTGAGAAGGATTTGCATTTAGTTTTACAAAAAATAGAAATATTAGTTCGGCTCGTGGACTTCTGCGAACATTAACGCACATCGTACATGTATGTTCCAAAGAAGCTTTGTGGTTACGACAACTCGCGTGACTTTCCCAAAACTGTTAAATCCCTGCTTATTCCACACGCCTGACTTTACTCCCTTAATTAACACGGCATACAGAAAAGTTTTTTTTAAACACTTCCACACAACCACTTATATTCCGAATACCATTCTTTACGAAACTTCCGAACTTTGTCTTTTGATTTCCCCCTTTTTTCCATATCGAGAGAATAAGGCATAGGTCTCTCGCAATTTAAAAAATCCTTTTTGTGCTTAATTCTCCATCTGGAAAATGGCGTTTCCAGTAAAATACATACTGGATCATACATAGGAAACATTTCTACAATTATCATACAAAACAAATATTAACTAAGAACTGTTATAATCGTGCACTGGGCGACGCGTATCGTATAAACTGTTTAAAGGAAGGCGATGACAATGCTGCTTCAATATCCGCGTCACTCGTTCCCCACGCCGCGCCGTAATTTACTCCCGTGTTGGCCGCCTTGTTGCCATGACAACCGCTGTAAAAACCGCTTCGAAGAGAAGCGGAATATAGACTGATTGCGTATACTATATGTTGTATGGTACGAGGTTGATGTTCACGCTCAACGAAGGCAATGTTTTTTTTAGAAGGCGTTCACTGCGCACTATTCTATTTATTTCTGCGTATTAAATAATTAAAGACAATACATTTTCAATATAGAATTATACCTAAATTATAAAATTTATATAAAATTAAAAATCATTTTAAATTGCACAACCAAATGGAAATTTTAGGTGAAGCGGTGCGTCACTTGCGTCACCTGACGAACAGCCACTGCCTTCTACTTAGTTTCCTGTGATACACATTTATTGTTCTATTTCAATTTACAAGCACAAATGCCATTTGATGGTTTAGACCGATGTGTTTGTGCCTGTTACAGTAAAAAAATGATTTGCATTCATAAGTAAACCGAAAAGTTTAAAGTATTGAAAGCTAAAACAATTTCCACCTTAACGCGGATACGGATTTAAGTTGTTTTTCTCAATAATAAATTCGAGAAATCTAATGTACTCTTACGGAGATCACCTGGTACCACATACTTCTTGGTGTTTGGATGCTGCTGTCTCCAAAGGCTAATGGAGATCTCTCCCAACGATCTTGCGTTGTCGTGACTTCCTTCTTTTGTTTAGAGGTAGTTCGTACACTCGTGCCGGGTCGATTTTCTGCCGTCTTAGAAACTGTCTGTCTATGTATTGCTATAGGAGCACTAAAAAAAAAAATATATGTAAAGTGAACCGACACATTCTCCTGTCAAACGGGATTGAAAAAATAAGAACATAACAGTAATAATTTAAAAAGTTTTGTAATTTTGTTTACGGATTGAGAATAAGATTCTGTCAATTTTCGTTTACGAAATTGTTCAGTTGACAAAAAAATTAAATGAAGAACGGAACATCGGAACAAAATGGTTGTTAAAAAAATATATATAAGAAATATACAGGAGGGTGATCGGAAGAATGTTACATACTTCAGCGCGGGTTCTGGCGGATTTATTATTTGACCGATTGTACTGAAATTAGATGTAGTGGTTATTATTGAGCTCGAATAAAATTATAGAGTCAATTTTGAATTATAATGTAGAGAGAGCCACTCTAAACTATTGAAGCCACGATACAATTAACATGTAGAATTTCATACGAACCGCGAATCACGATATGCATTTGATCAAATTTTTCTCGAAAACATTGCGTTCTGTGAAAAAAATATCAAGTGACAAAAAAGTTTCTAAATTCAATGGCTTTCTAGCGGACTAATAATAATTTTTAAGAAATTCAAATATGCGACCTAATTTTTTTTACTGCAAAGACAAGGGGCCCACGAAAAAAGTATCTTAAAGGGGTCCCTCGCCAAAAAGCGTAGCAGTGTCTGATATCACATGTCACAAAACTCCTGTGTACCAAAAGTAGGTTTCCTAAATTTGTCTTAAGAATCTGTGATCAAATTTTGTTGCATTAATTTCGGTATAGCGAATGTTTATACAGTGGTGCTTCATAAGATCAACTCAGCTTAATAATAAATCAAAATAAAGAGGATTTTGGAATAAGTTAAAATTGGAGCTAGATAAACATTTACGCTTTTTATGTTTCTGAAAAATAAATAACTATTTAAGCGCTGCATTATTTGAAAAAAAAAGTGAATAAATTTTTGTGAAATCGCAAAAATTGCGTTCGTACGAAATTTTTATGTTCATCGAAATTGAAAATTTTTGAAATTTTTGCCAAATTTTCTCATTAATGTTATTGTTATTAACCTGTGTTATTTAATTAGTTATAAAATTTTTAGTAATTATTTTTTAAACCAATTTTTAAATTTTATTTCTTATTTTAAAAGTTATCTCCGTGGGGGGGGGGGGTTGGTGGGCTCTAGGGAAAGTAGTTATATGTTATTTTAACGTCCCCTGAATAAATCCGAGAGATTGTCCACATAAATATGAAATATGAAACCAATGTATGTACCATTGGTCATATAAGCTGTGCCAGCACCCGATGTGGTATTATTCTTTATATAAAAAACGTTGCCAGCCAGATTTTTCACAAATTAGTTAATATTTTTCTCCATAAGATGCGCCCTCTGGCGACACTATATGTTTCATTTCATCAAACCTTTATATGTATACACTAAGGAAATAAAGTAACATTCCCATCAAAATTTTCACATTTTCCCCTCTTCCTTTGTAATGTTTCAACGAAAAGAAATATAGGAAAAAGGCGACTGAAATTAATTCCTTATCGACTAGAACAGGTGGAGGAACACTGATAAGACCTCAGAAGGGAATGACAGCCCCTAGTTCAGCCTTTCCTTTCATAAGGGTCACGTTATATAGAACTCAATTACTGATTATATCCGAGGGATGATTATTGTCTAACTCTAAAGGAAAAAGTAATTTTTTTCATGTAATTTCATTTTGTTAGTTATAAATAAACATATATTTGCTAATACGCCTTTATAGGTTTGATTTTTAATTTCCAGAATATCATCTGAACAAAAAGAGAATATTACTATTGCTGTTATAAGTATTAGAATTGCAGTTAATTATGAGTATAAGAATTATCATTTATTTAGTTTTTTATTCTATTATCATTTTTATAAAGGGTGTAAATAAATAAGTGCGAAAAAATTTGGTGGGTCTTTCATATAACAAAATCTCATTTACACATACAATCGCTTAAAGGTGTCAAAGAAAAAGTTTTTAATTTTTCTTCTGAAATAGGTACCAAAAGAGTGAGTGCCTTCTCGATAGCAGAAAATGTCTACTTAATTTCATTTTTATTACTCAATACTCATGCGGGATAAGTCCTATCTTTCCTCTTGTTTTTTAGGTCGTAATTTATCGCACGCGAATTGCCAATAAAACAAGCAAATAGTATATTGTCCAATAAGTGCGGTAAGTTGTCTATTGCCCACGAGAGAGGAGTTGAACGCACGAAGTGAATGCTTTTTAAAAATAAATTTTCGAATGTGTTACTTACACACTTTAAATTTTACGTGTTTTATTAGCAACTCGTGTGTGACAAGTAAGATTACCGCACGCAAATAAATAGAGTGGACAAACTGCTAGTTACCGACCTAAAAAACACGCGAAAAGATAGGACTTATCCGTCATGAGTAATTAGTATATTGTGCAATAAGTGCGGTAAGTTGTCTATTGCCCACGAGAGCGGAGTGGGCAATAGACAACCGCACGAATTGCACATACTATTTTTATTACGAATGCAATGAAATCTTAGAGTCCAGGGGCGAAGCTCCGGTGGGGTCCACATATTTTTATTCAATATGTTGACATAAATAACTGTCATTTAAATGTCACTTTTTAAAAATAATATTTTCGAGTGTGTAGGTATTTAAATTTTGCGTGTTTTATTGGCAATTTTCGTGCGACAAGTAAGATACACGCAAATAAATAGAGTGGGCAAACAGCTAGTTACCGACCTAAAAAACATACGAAAAGATAGGACTTATCCGTCATGAGTAATAAAAAAAATATTATTTTTAAAAAGTGACATTTAAATGACAGTTATTTATGTCAACTTAAATTGAATAAAAATCTGTGGACCCTTACCGGAGTTTTGCTCCTGGACCATTAAAGACACGTGGATACATCTTACAAACGATAAAAAATCGATAAAAAACGAAACGGCACAAATATCTCCAATACCGTTAGAGATAGGTATAGGGAACCTATACACAGTTCGAAGGAGTTTTAAATTTGCCATCTCCCAAAGTAAAAATATACTGGGTGTTCCATTTAAAATAATCAAGTTATTGCTGTTTAAAGTTGAGAGAAGTATTCAGCAGTTTTTTGAACACCGTGTATAATACTAAATGACGACAAATATAACAATTTATAACTTCAAGGATCTAAAATAGATCCTCTAAAACTGCTTCCTTAAAATTATTTTTTTATTGCTAATATTAAATTTCTACGCTATGCTTGCATTTTCACTAAAATTGAAATATCTCACAAACTATAAGTCCTAGGTATGCAGAACCTTTAATAAAGTTCACCTATTTTTTTACGGTGCTTTCAAAAATGCAGTAAAATACAGGGTGTTCCATTTAAAAAAACATAACTTTGATATGGTACTCTTATCCTGGACACTCTGTATATTTCAAAATATTTTTAAAATGTAGCCGTAATTAACCTACACATATCCACCTAAACAGGTTTCTATAACATTTTCCGTTTGGTCAGTAGCGACCGAGGCGTTACTGGTGGCCCACCCTGTATATGTATATCAGTATGTCTTAATGCATCTATAAAATGAAGTGCCATAATGATAGGCCTGCTATGGCTTTTTGATGGGTGATTTTTCGAGAAAACATTTTTTTATGTAAAATCTGATGTGGCTTTATCGTCATCTTTTAAAATTTTCCTATTTCAGCTACAAATGAATAAAATTCGAGAAATGGGGATTTTAAATATGTAGTGCTAAACCACAATCACTGAGGTACTTGTTTCTGAAGATGTATTACAAAAAAACACCCGCTGTTTTCACTGCATTTGTAATAAAAAATAGTATGTACAATTGGTACAGTTGTCTATAGCCCACTTGGGCGGATGAGCGCACTCACTACAACTTACCGCACTTATTGCACAATATACTATTCTGTCACTTTTTAGAAAAAAAATAACTACTTTCTTGGCACCCTTTTTAAGCGGTTGTATCTTCACAGGGGATGCAATTTTTTTATATGAAAGACCCACCTTATTTTTCCACAGGGAATTTTTTCGCACATATTTATTTACACCCTGTATAATCATACACCGTAAGATATTTTTGTACTATGCATAATTTTATTGACGCAAATAATCCACAAATACATTGAATGCGACTACAACTGCACCGTTGATAAGCATTTCATCATGAATATTTCTCATTTAGTGTTGCTCTGTTGTATAAAAGTACCTGTCGAGTAATAAAGTCTTTATATTTTTTTCCAAAACAACCTTCAAGTATTTCAATAAGGGTGGACTTTATAACATATGCTTGTTATGGATTTTATGTCATATTTTTCCGTAAGGTTCCTCTAAACAAGTAATCGACACAATTTATAGGTAACAGAGCAGATTTTATCAGATAAAAAAATTGATGTTTACTACAGTATTAACTGACCTGGAATGTTTCAAGGGCTTGTCCACAGTCCGACTTGCTGGACAGGCTGTCAGAAGCGGACGTTTTCCACCGGTAACATGGGCTGACTGACTCCGTGTCTTTTCAATAACCGGTGTACGTCCTTTAGGATGAATATCCCTTTAAAAATGATTATTGAGTAAGTTTATAGAATTACTTGTATTTAAAAAAAATCCATATTTCTAATTTTGATTTGTATAAATTAGTTATTGAAAGAAGTTAATTTAGTGTTGCTCTAATTCATAATTTTGTTTGCTAAGAATTATTAAAGTAGAGAAGACTTACTTTCGATGCTGCACAGTTGCTGATGCAGAAGCCTGTCTAGGGATTATTTTCGGCGATTTCTTCACAGTTTTCACAGTTTCAGATGCATCCTTTTTCCCAGGACCTTGCGATGACTTATCCCTTTTGAAAATTTCAGCGGGGGCAGTAACAACTTCAGTTGGCAATTGCTTCGTCTTCTCGACAGTAGGCGAATGCTGTCTATTAGTTTTCGGTGTAATTCCGGCCGAGTAAGCCCTTCTTCTTAAATTAGGTGACTTAATCAAACGGTAATCTACGGGTTGAGTCTGTTTTGCGCTAAGCGTAGCTTGTACCGTGGAGGGCCTACTTTTGTTAGCGTTGTTTTCTATTTTGGCGGGTAGATTTTGGGAATTTCTTTGTTTGACTGGAGATGAATCTATCTGAGCATAACGAAAAAGAATAGTATGGTTATGTGTGGATACAATGAGGTATTTATAATGAAGTTCAGCATTTTCGGAAGATTATTTTAAATGGTATGTTACTGTAAAATTTAAATTCTCTTACCCTTTTTTTGTCCCCTTCTAGTCTCGGTGTATAAAAGTAAAGGTGTGTATTCTTCGTCGTTGTTGTTTTCTTCTCTTGGGGAGCTCTCGCTGTGGATACTTTTACCGGTGTACTACATCTGTTCAGAGTTTTTTGCACCTCTGGCAATTCTAAAAGTGTTAAAGACGGCAACGTTCTTGTGATACCGTCACCGATGAGTTGATTTAATTGGTGTTTGTGAATCAGGATATTGAACATTCCACCGACCTTTCCTAGAGGATCGTGAGCTATTGCGGACATGACAGTTCTAGGTTCAGCTTGAAGCACGGCAGCAATTTCCGTAATTATCTGAAATTAAAATATCATTTCATTGTAATAAAATGATGAACATTTTCATTTTTTTGTGCCAAGTGGTGAAGACCAACATTGATAGTGATGCTTCGCTTTACCATAATCAGAGATCATTACAACTTTGATAATTTAACATAATGTATTTTGTATCGCCAATCATAATGAACTTAAAATAGCGTTGAAAAGTGTTTTATTAACACACAAAGTGTGAAAGCAGTCCATTTCTAAGCAAGCACTTTTAATTTACTGATTCCTTGTCCACGATCTATAAAAATGTTTATTGTTAATCTCTTAAAAGGCCCAGATTATCGAGACCGAGTATGAGTATTTTTTTATCACTTCAGATGTTTTTTTCAGAAAATTTTCACAGATAATTTTTTTTAAGATAAAAAAAATCTCAATTACATTTAACGTCTCCGCCACTGCACAAAAGAAAAAAAACTCCTTTCATGAGATTATTTCAAATGATAGCCTAAAGACATGTATCGAGTTTCTTCTGGATCTGTTCAGCCATTCTGAAGATCTTTAAAAGCATGTGTTTTTGGCGGTGCATCTATTATACTTTCATATATTCACAGAAAACTTTTTACTCAAATTATCATTTCCTATCTCCTGCGTCAGTTTGGCATCATATGTTACAAACACCCTGTATATGACAAATTTGTTCCATATTTTGTTCTTCTTTTAGCATTCTTCCTTACCTTAGCTTGCCAATGTGAATCCACTATTTTGATGGGGTTCGTTCGAACTAGTCTCTTCCCCTTATCTGTAATCCAAGGATGCACCAGCAACTCTTTAGTGTTGATTCTCTTGGCAGCATCTGCCGCCAAGAGTCGGTTCAACACATGCCTGAATTCAGGTGAGAAAGGTGACAGGGCTCTGCGGTGAGGAGAGGACAAACCCTTGTTGATTTTTGCCACGAGTTGTCGCCGGCGTTCCTGCGAGGAACTATACTCACACCTGCTGCTGACGAAGGGCAGATGACCTAGCACCATGCCGTAGAGGATGATGCCACTGGAAGAAAATTATTACATAGAATCTGCATTTAAAAGGTCTGTTTTGATCCTTGTGGAACGGTTCTAGGACACTTCAAGATTAGCTGACCATGGCAACCTGATTGAGTAACTATTCTGAATTGTTCTAAGGCTGCCCACTGACCAAACCAAAACACACCTAAAATATGTTCTGCTAAGGCAAAACCTAGAAACTAATGCCTAAGTTAAGAACTATAATCAATATGCTGATTTAGGATCTACAAGTACCTATTTGGATCGCTTTTTACCCTTAATATTCTTAATAATTTTAATAAAGGATTTACGTATAATATGTTAATCGCGCTGAGAGGAATTCTTCTGTAATTCTGTAACTGTAAAATTTATAAAAAAAATGGTTTTAATAAAAGTTGCCTGGAATCATGTAAAAAAAATAATTTTGGGTCTACAGGGTGTTCCATTTCGTACGGGCGCTACATAACTTTGTTATTTTAAATTGAACATGGAAGATGGCATTTTTGAATTCCTTGGTTAATATTAGGTAGGGTTTATTAAATGTATGTTGTTTAAAACTTACCGTTTTCGAGATATTCAGTTGTTTTTGAAAAAAAATTACGATTTCAGCTTTCTAAATGAAGCTAGATAGCATCTAAATCGTAAGAGTTAGAAACCTGCAGTTTTTACATGACGTTTTGGCATAAATTGCTCTATCTTGTCATCTGTGAGCAAAACGTATAAGTTATTCAGACTTGGAAATACTGAGACCTACATTTAATAATCTTACGAGTTTAAATGGAATGACCCATATTAATTGTCATGGGCGAATGCAAAATTGAATGCACTTTCAACTGATATAAGGTTGTCCATACTTATTACTAACAGTTTTTCGGAAAAATTAGGTTTTCTAAACTTCCAAAATGTAGCTATGTAATAGTGTCAATAATATACAGGGTGTTCCGTTTAAAATAAGAAAGTTACGTAGCGCCCACGCGAAACGGAACACTGTAAAGCTAAACATATTTTCTTTACATGGCCCACATGATTCCAGACGCCTTGTTAAAATCATTTTAACCTCTCCTAAAACCTCTTAAGTGGAACACCCTGTATATATATTTTCTTTTAAAGGTTTTGAGATGGGATTGTATATGCAATAATAATATCGGCTTTTTTAAGTGAGAGTGAGGCCGGTATAACATTACTTAAAATCAGCTTCGCAAAATCTCATTAACGTAAATTTCCTTTTCAGGGTATTTCTTTTCCTACAGACTCTGGAAAGGCGCATCAAATTTATTTCTCTGCTCGCTATATAACTACTTTGTATTAATTAGGGCTTAAAGCCGATGGCAAATTATGGCGGTTAATTAAAAAGTTTTGTCAGAATTGACGTTAGACTTGCGGAAAATTAAACACCGCGAAATAAGTATAAATCTGATGGTCTTGTTTGGGAGAACCGACTTTGTCTCACGCAGGCAATCAAATTTATAACAAGGAGAGGAATTTAAATCACGAAGTCATAGATAAAATGTTTTAATTTTCTTTTCATTCTGTATTTTTTTGCACTGAATATGAAAGTATTCGACTATCGATGACTACAGAAGAGATTTAATTTAAAAAAACATATAGTTTTTTACTATCAACGGATGAAGTAGGGAATGTCGAAAACATAGCCTAACACTTTACTTGCGCTTTCTAAGAGAAAAAGGAGAATTTGCTGCTCAGTATCTAAGCTTAGATACTGTGGACCTTTTTTATAGCAAATTTAATTTCCTATACGAATGTCACGCACGTTTTTGCTGTAAGTTTAGTATTTATGAAAAAAATGCAAAAATCGATAAAAATTAACATTCAGATTTTTTAGCAGGGAAACTGTTCCAAATCGCATAGATCGTATTATGGGCACTTTCAAAGAACAAAGATTACCCTATAATTATTGCCTATTGACAATAAAATAGTGTGAAATACAGCTGAGATATAGATAATTTAAAAAAAAATGTAGGTTTACGTGTTAAATGAATGGGAAAATTTTAAAGTCAAATAGCAAGTACTTAAAATTAAAACTAATAGCTGAAATTTGGTGAGAATTTTTTTTAATGTTTAAAACAATATTTCGTCAATGGAGCGAAAAAATATATACATAATTTTTTCAAACGAAGCACCTTAATATAGGCATATACCTACTTACAATAAAAAAATGTTTTGATGATGAGATGTAATTTTTGTCGTTCAATTTTGATGAATAAATGAATGAATTTAATACAAGAGATCAACGAAAGTGTCGAAATTGGCCCACATCGAATTTTATCGTTGATTTATAAAAAGTTTGGTACAGCGGACGTCGTATTAACATTCGTGTGACCTAAGTCTAGTAGGCGTCAAAAGCCGATGTTTGAAGAAGAGTAGGCTGACTAAGTTACTGACAGACTCCAGAGATCCACTTCGGCACCGTATTGTCTGCCTGTGATGAAGAGCTCGGGGGCTGCGTACTCTGGAGAGCCGCAGTGCGTTCGTAATGGGTTGTTTATGCTCCACACGTTGCTCAGACCGAAGTCCACGATCTTGATTTGGGTTTGGATGGAGTTCAGCATCACGTTCTCCATCTTTAGGTCTCTGGAATAAATCAGAATTTCAGGTTATGTATTTTATCAACGTTTCTTAATTTTGTATTAAAATGCAAAAAGTTCAGAACATTTAGGTCTTTGATATCCTGCTGTATCTCTTAGAATTTATTAATTCTTAAAATTTACATATGTTGACTGAATTAGTGAATTTTAAATCATTAGAATTCACCGCTGTTCGATATAATTAAATAATCTTGTCACTGTAATATGCGAAAGACAGAATACTTCAGAAGACTCTTATGCAGTAATTGGATGAAAAGTAAATTCGATGTTTTCTACTACTTAGATTATTGTTTAAAAATGAAAGCATTATTATTTAAAAAGTTTGGCAAATTATTTATTTTTTTTATAAACTAGATCCTAGAAATTTGCAGGGCCGTATTTAAAAAAATGAATTTGACGATGGTCCTGGAAATACGAAACGTTGCATATAAAAATTGATTATGCCATTCGATAAAGAGCAAAAAGCTGTCATGAGAAAGTGTTCTTCTTTTTTCAATATCACCTTAAACAAGACTGAAATGAAACAAAAACGGATATCTAAAATCTCTGTATATGTAGTGAGAAGCGAATTTGCAACAGCCTGTATTTCCAGCACCTAATTCCAGGATTACAAAAAAACTGTAAAAATCGCTGAAAACTTACAGTCACTCTAACTACATACACTTATCTATATATCAACAACACTATACCGAGTTATTGTTACAAATTTTCTCTTTTTTGGTAATCGAAAAACCATAATTATTTTCCGTCCCTATTCACACAAATTCATCATCTACGCTATCTGCCCTTGTAATCGTGGAATGCTCGGATCACTTCTATTCAGCGCAGAAATGTCCAACCTATATAACGACAAAAAAATCACTTCGATTGGCCCACCCTTGCTCCCAGTGACTGCGACCAAACATTTGTTACATTTTCAAAGTTTATTAATTAAAGTTACAGATAAACAATGCTTTGAAATTATCAAGTCAATTACATATATATTGTATAATAACAAGTCCTTGCTAATAATACGATGTAAATAAATAAATGAAATGGAATATGTAGCCACAAAATAATTAGCTTTCTCCAGTAATACAAATAAAACTTTCTGACAGCTTAAAGACTTTAAATTCATAAATCCGTCATTTTCTGGGAAAATCCTTGGTCGACTTTGAAATACAAATTTAAATATTAATGTAAGATGTCCCACAGTAGCTATTATCATTAAAATGTCCAGAAAACCTTAAAATAACTTTAATTTCAGTGCAGAAAATTTAGCCCTTATTGTTTGTGAATTTACTTCCAAACATTTTGGTTGTACTCCAACTTGTTTATAACAACTTAAAATATTAATTAAACTAAAATTAAATATCGGCATTTGCCGAAAATCTATCTGCTTTTTCGAAACATTAACAACTTTCCACAGTGCGCGATATAATGTGATGTGTATTTTTGTATTTTGTACAATGTGTTTCTTCTAGTGTGAGATTTTTTGGAACATAACCCTTGATTGATTCTTTTGCCGCATGGGTTTATTTCATTAATTTTAAATTTTTTTCACAGGTGGCAAAATACCCAAAAGTAAAGAAAAAAAAATCATGCGACAAATAAATAACTTCAGACAATACAGAAAAAATGGTACGGCAAAATATTGACTAAAAAAATAAGATCGACTAAGTTTTTGAAAATGTGCCAGAGAGTTGTACTATTATTTTTATGCGCAGAACCACATTTTATTGTTTTCAATAATAGCTGTACCAGATTTGAAAAAATGTTGCGGCAAAATATTGACTAAAAAGATAACTTTGACTCAGTTAATATTAAGTTTTTGAAAGTGCCAAAGAGAGTTGTATGTACTATTATTTTTATGAGCAGAATCATCTAAATCAACTGCTCTTATGGGTATGGGTTTTTTGTCTAGGCATAGCTATGAAGTAATGGACTCGTGCAGCCCAGCATCTTGTAATTCAGTTATAAATATCAGTAGCGAAGTGATCTTTAATTCATTTGATCTTTTTGTGTTAATGTTGACTAAAGAACACCCTGAAAAGGCTTAATAGTTGAATTATGGGACAGTCTGTATATACGAAAAAATGACTAGAATTAAAGAGTTCTGTAAAAAAAACTAAAACTGTACTAAATTTGTCCTTTAGCGCAGCATTTTGGACATAACCAAATTTATCTAACTCGACTTATTTTAATATAAAAAATATGTGGAGGCTCCACACGGAATATTAGGATAAGCCACATGTACAATTCTTTGTAACTTTGTGACTGAAAGAGATACAGTTTTGCTACAAATGGATGTCTCCCAATTCTTTAATTAAATATGACGAAATGGCGTAACAAAAACAGCGGCAAGAATCCCAAAGACAAATTTTATCACGCGAGAGAAGACAAAACAATCCTACAATATGCACTCAGACCCAGCGGAAATTATTTATAAAAGTGTACTATGTAAGATGACAAATGCTGAAACTTCCAAGACTCGACGTCTGGTCGAGAATTAATATTGCTTTGTTAAAACCGGTAGTGTCATTAAATATTGTATTTTGTATTTAGCTGAGTGTTTGGGCATCTCACCATTCATTTGAAATATTTTCCTGTTTCTATTAGACACCGTGTTCATTTTTCATGGAGTCACCATTATATCTATGTTATTTGAAATTGAAACGTTTTGAAATTTTGGTATGAAATAAATATATAACTAAATATGATATTAATTCTAAAGTTAAATCGGGGCTGATTTTAAAAAAACATAACCTATTTATTTTTCTCTTAAACTAAATGTCACATTTCAACTTAACATACCCAGAAACTTCTCTCTACCAAAGTTGACCAAAACATTTTTAAATGGGTATCGAAGCAGTTAGTTTTTCTTTAAATTTTTTTAGAGTAACCGTTAAAAACCAACAGTCACCCGTTTTTGTTTAACAATTTTTGTATGTAACCTTATGCCAAAAATTTCCATAATGCTGGGCCACACTAACGTCCAATATCTTGATGACAAATAAAATGGTTGGCAGCTTTGTCGTTTGTTTTGAAGTGGCGTAATATTTTCGCAGCCACCTAGCTAGCAGTTAAGTACGAATACGTACGATCTATTTCAGTAGAGTATCCAAATAACTTCAAATAACACAAAAAGTAGAAGAGAAAAGTATAAGGAAAATAGTATGGATGGAAAGAGAATAAAATTACATATCCAAATTTGAAACAAAAAATCGAGTTTAGATGGTTTCCAGTAGCTTCTGATTTTTAATTTGTTTTCCTAAAACCCTAAATATCTCGAAAACGGATAACACAGCCACAAAAAAAAGTTGTCTGTACTTTTCATGGTATCAGAATTGAGCTATCACATCACAGGAATTTCCTAACCTCAAAAAAAACGGGTCAAAAATAGCAAAAATTCACGAAAAAGTGCTAGGAAAAATACAAAATTTTTTTTTCTATATTCAAATGTGCATTTATATGGTTAAGATCCCGCCGAACGTGAGTCCGCGGTCAGAATTGATGGTTCTTTTTCTAACCTAAAAAATGGGTCAATTAACATATCACACATATCAGATATCATGAATTTTAAAAAAATAACAGATTTGCACCAAATTGGGTATACGGGGATTTTCGGGGTCGCTAATCACGGATCCGAGGTCAATTTTGCAAAATTCAAGATTACGGATAACATATCGCACCTCCGCTAGAAAGGAGTCACAACTCGAAAAAAATGGTTTTGAGAAAAACTGTTNAAACCATTTACTAAGTATATCTTGGCAAATGTCAAAATTTGAAAAATACTATAATATAATAAAATAATAAATAAGAAGAAATTGTCTGTATTTATTTGTGGCATTATAAATGTTTGTTATAATTTGGATATTATTATATTTGGATATTTTGCCAGTTTGAAGAAAAAAAACTGGAAAAATAAACCTTTGTACTGATAGGGACAGTCAAGTGTCAATACTGAAAACTTTTGCCTAATAGTGAGATGCAAGAGACATACATCTACATGTATAAGTCCGGTTACGCACTGGAAAAACAAATGCACATCACAATAACACTGACGTTTCTGAAACCTCTAGTTTCGTTATCAAAGCAGAAGTGAATTAGAAAAGTACTGAATATTAGTTTTTCGCTACATTTTCTGTTTAACTAAATAATCTGTTCTCAAAAGTATTGACACTTGACTATTCCTATTTGTATGAGGGTTTACTTTTAAAATTTTTAAAATAATATAATATAGAGGATATAAGTGAGAAGTCGTTTCCATACGATGGATGGCGCTGTAATCAGTTCACAAAGTATAAAGTGTTGCCTACTCATTAGTAAGCTTCCAAAACGTTACGTGGCGCTGTTTCGCGGTTTAGTGGCAAAATTAGGGATATTTCATTCTACGTTATTACTATATTTTCTATGACTACAGCCGAAACGAATGGAATCGAGGCGCGTCGAATAGAGCAGCATTTTTTGAAAAGTGCGTTCATCGAGACGCATCGAGGAGAGTCGAATCGGTCAGTCAATAGTCGTATAGTTGGTCAGGATATTTCTCTACCAGAGATATTAACAGTTCCTCATTCATTTCAAAAAAGTAAAGTAGAAAAAATCAAAGAATACGAAGAAATTATAAAACACATGTCTATCGCGTCGTTTCACGTCTATGCATCAATCGCTCCTCCGCGTCGACTGAGGTGCGCCGAATTGAGTCGAAACGCGTGGCCGCAAAAATTCGCTCAACGAGCAATGCGCCCGGGAAAATCGGCTAGGTGCGTTGCGGCTCTTCAGTGGTCGACGTAGATTCAGACGACACTAATTGTAACAAGATTTCGCAATGTTGCCAATATAAATCGAACTAGAATTTAGTTGCTTACCAAATTTTATTGTTTAAATTTAGTTGGTATCAATTGAGTTTCACGAGTTTCTGGTGGAGGTAAAATAACCTCACTTTAAATAAGGTTCGTTTGTTTATTTTTTAATAGTTTATGGATTATAGAAAACTTAAGGAAAGTGCCATTCGTTCACATTTTTATTTGTTTTTTTTTTTTTATAGCTACATTGATTATAATGAAAGCGTCTCCGACTTACATATCATACATTTTTTATCATTAAAAGAATTGTTTTTTTTTGTTTCCACATTTTACTATGTATATTTTGAATATAAGACAAACATATAAATATTGTTTATATATAATTTTTTTAATTTCCGCATTTACACTCTACGTCTTGAGTATATTGATTTATATTTTGTATAATTTTTACCAAATGTTATTGCTTTTGTTTACATACATTGGCTTTTCTGTTACCATCAGAAAAATTCATTAGTAAACATTTTGTATAGCAATAAGTCTAGAATTTCTGTAAATGAATCTAAATAAAAATCAAACTATTATGTCTTTTAATTTGCATTTAATATTACACTTTTCCTAAAAAAAATTGCAGCGGTGTTATCAGCCAGGGGTTGATTGTTGATTGTTGTGATTGTGAAATGTGAAATCATTGTCAAACTGCAACTACTGATCCTTCTGATCTATTCATCTGCACTGCCCTCTCATTTTTTCTGCATCGACCTTTTAATTCCTGATACCGCACAATTGTTGTTTTACCTTAGCACATTAACATTTTTAGGTATATATTAAGATAATCATTAAGGAATATTGCCACGGTAAAATAAATATACTTTGTGTGTCCTTTCTAACCTAAAAAAAAAATATTTTGGTGTTGATTGAAATATTCGCTCAATATTTCAGTCAACGTTTTTAGTCTTTAATACTTATTGCACCAATTCACTTACCTTTAATAAACCTATTTAGCAAAATAAACTAAACAATATAATACTGTTATAACTTGGTAAAAGTTAGTATTTTAGTAGATGACATTTTGTGATTTTAAAATTATTATTTGTGGAAAATATAAGATCGTGATATACAATTAATTTTACGTTACATTTGCATAAAAAAAACAAGAAAAAGTACCACAAAATTTAACGCTTAATTTATTATTATTGGGTGTCATTATGCATTCATATTACTACTTTAGTATTATTTTATTTAATGAGAACTACCTACAAAGTATTTTAAATTTTCCCGCGATACCACTTTGATATTAAACTGACTTTGGTAAGTAACTAGATATGTTAAGTTGACAACGCTGCGAAATCTTGTTACAATTAGTGTCGTCTCGTAGATTCATCTAATTATATGGGAGGCGAATTTTTGCGATTCGATTCGATTCGACTCGGCGAGTCTAGTGGACGCTAAGCTTAAATCTTGCTGCATATTTAACTCATTAAGGACGTTTTTTGACTTGTGACTCTTTTTTTGCGGGGGTGCGATATGTCGCATGAAAAGTACAGACAACTTTTTTTTTGTGTGGCTGTGTAATTTTAGGAATACGGAAACTTGATGGAAATCACTTTAAAATGAAGGGTAGAATCCAAAAATGTAAAAATATACTTAATGTACTATTTAAAATAACAAAATTGACGTCAACTTCCGGTATAACCGGAAGTGTTACAGGAACAAAATTATTAGATTTGAAAAGAACACACTCAAAAACCCTAGTGCGCCAATTTTCAAAACTTAAATCGAAGTAGGTTCTGAAATAATCTTATAGGACACTCACTTTGAGCCACTGGCTATAGTGAGACCCATTTCAAATTGACATACCCTTATAAAAAATGCATTTGTTGACTGATTTAATTATGGTTCTTTTTGAAAAACAGAGCTTAAAAAATAAATTCCATTATATTACAAAATTTAACAAAAATTGTTTAGCGATTTGGATTTTATATGAATAAGCAACTAACTCAGTAAAAAAATAAATTTAAGTTGTCAAAAATGAGCATAGAAGTAACCACCTACCATTTGAGTATAATCTTTCGACTTGATAATATAATTACGAATTTCCCATCTTGAATTCTTAAATTGCATTGTATTTCAAACCTTACTCAAATACATTTGAAACAACTAGTGAGAAAAAATTGTTATTTCCAAAACAGGTTTGTTCCAAATTGTCGATATGTGAAGAAAAGTCATATTAGCACCAGGTAAGATGTAATTGGCACCTTGTATCAATGAGCTCCAATAGACATTATTTTTCAAATTCTCATATTATGAAACATGTTTATTGAAAGTTATCTATAACTTCACTAAGGCGATTTATTATCGAAACATTACTAAAATTAGAATTTCTTTGTTATCCTATCATAGGTCAAATTGCATTTGAATAATTTTACATGCTTGACTCAATCAATCACTTTTTTTTGACCATTTTTTTTGCTTTATTTCCTAGTAGGTTTTGAAAATAGAAGACGTAAGTCGTAGTAGAGCAAAGCACCTGATGTGGCTTAGCTTATTAACGTGAAAAATATATGTATAAGGATCTAAGAAAAAAAATATTCGTAACTACTGATATTTTAAAAAATATAAATAATAAAAAAATGTGTTATTCAGCAGTCGAGCCTTTATTAATAACATAATGGATGTAAAAATGAATAGTTTGTAAATCTATTTTATACCTACCATTTTTTTTCTCACTGTATGATATGAATGTTATTTAATTTCATTCTTTTCCACAATTTATTATTTCCAAAACAAATGTTTAGTTGGACAAACTGTATACATTCTTTATTCAACTATACTATTGTTCCATTTGGGCATATAACATATACTGTAACTTTTTATATGAACAAAATTATTATTATTATTATCAAGTTGGTTTTATTAATAAAAAAATAGGAACAAAAAGACCTACGCCAACATAAAGTAAACTAATTGCACCTAATGGCTGTGGAATAAATTAACAAACTCCATATTGGCAAAGCCTGGTTTCCTAATGCACATCCCTTATTATATTAAGTCTAAATGCATTATTTATTAAAACAGTGCGTCAACTTCAGCATCTAATATTTTATCATGAAAACTAATTGCGGCAAGCTTTACGTTTTCAGAAAATTTAAATGCAATATGAATATATGCATAAAGTAGCAGATACATTAGGTATATAAAAAGGACTAAAGTGCATCATTTAATCAGAAGACTAAATTTGTTGCCGGAGCGAATCGTGCAAGAATAGTAGAACCTTTCGGTAAGGGACACAAGTTATAATTACTTCTCCTATTTATTTATTTATTTATTTATTTATTTAGGCAATACACTACCCTACTGAAATTCCAATTACAGGGTAGGTACAAACAGAAAACTACATCATATACTACATGATATGAGATAAGTAACAATACAAAACATTACATACCTAAATAATTAGACAAAAAAGTAGATAAATATGAAACAAATATAATTTAATTTGTAAATGTAACTTTTTTAATTATGGCTATATCAGAATTAAAAATATCAAACTGATTTTGAAACAGATTATATTTATCACCCATTTGAAAAAGAGGACAGTATTTTTAAATATAAATTCTTGACACAGGTAAATAAAACAATGAAGAATCTAGGTATATGAAAATTTAACAATGAAAGTAAAGAAGGACAGTCAATTGCGTTATCTAATAACTTATATAAAAATATCAATTGTGCAATTGTTCTACGTTCCTCTAAACTGTGAAATGAAAATCTATTTAAAAGATCACATTGAGGGATACCAATAGGTGGATAATTGTCATCCTCTCTAAAAACTGCAGACTTTAAGAAACGTCTCTGAACTCTTTCAATATTAGTTATGTAAATATAAGGTAACCACACAATGCAGGAGTATTCTAATTTAGATCGAACAAAAGCTGAATATAATAATTTAAAAGTAATCATTAAAATCCTTAGATCAGCGTAGTACAAAACCAGCATTTCAAAGCTTTCGTTCGTAATCATATTAATATGGTACGAAAAACACAATTTACTGTCAAATATTACACCTAAATCATGGATGGTGTGTGGTCTGGTAAGAATAGTATTATCAATCAAATACAACCGGTTGCTGTTTAAGAGAGGTCATGACTCATGACATAACACTTTTTAATACTAAGCTGTAAATTATTAACATCGCACCATAAAACAATTTTATTTAAAGCAGATTGTACATTTAAACAGTCACATTCGCTACTTATACTAGAGCTTCATGTCATTAGCATATAATAAACAATTAACATCAGTTCCAACCACAATATCATTAATGAATATATTAAAGAAAAGAGGAACAAGAACCGGTCCTTGCGGTACACCAAAAGTACCTACAAATTCTTTCGACAGCCGACCATAATATTCAACAAATGCATGCCGATTTAATAAATTAGATAAAAAAAAGTGTAGTAAGTCTTTTGAGAATCCGAAACTATTTAATTTAGTCAATAAAACACCATGATCAAGCCGATAAAAAAGCCTTTGTGCAATTGGTGTATATTACATCTACTTGCGAATTCGAATCGAAAACACCCGAGATATATTGAGTAATACAGAGAAGGTTGGAGGTGGTGGATCTGCCCTTAAAACAAACTTGTTGATTTTCACTTATTCGATTCTTTAGAAATAAAAATCATATGCTTTAGAAAAATTATTGACAATTGTTATAGGTCTATAATTTTCAACTTATTTCTACCTATCTATTTCCATTTTTCTATTGGAGCCAATTTAAAATTTATCTGACAATATGATTATGGCAAATTTTTTAAAACTATTTGTATAACTGAATGGATCTCTCTGAATAAATAAGTAGAGTTGATATACAGGGTTAGTCAACGCTGTGGAAAAGTTGATTTATCACTAGAATATAAGAAATACACATTTAAAAAATAATTTAACTTATACAGGGTAATTTGTTTTCGGAGTTGTATTTTTTTTTAATATAACACCCTGTATTTATATTTCACATTGCAATTATGCAACTTTTTCGTAATAGGTACTATGTGCCAAAAATCAGTCGTTTCAAAGATATTAATCTTTTAATATAAAAAATGACATTTTCGGCATTACACTTGATCGTGACTGATATACTCGTTTCTTGAGATACAATCTAAGCAATCGTTACGCCTGTACTAGGTTCACCGTAAATTTTGAGTGGTCACTGTTTATAAATATCATACAGGGTGTTCACAAAATCGTACCAAATGTTATCTTTTTCAAAGGCAAACAGTTAGTTTTTTTTCAAATGGAATATCCTGTATTTTTTAAAGGGATGTGGAAGACCTTCTCAAAATCGGCAACTTTCATAATAGGTGTTATTTTCCTCATATTTTACGACATTTTTTGCAATTTCTTTATTATTTTTATATTATTTATTTTTCATTTTTTTTACCATAAATAGAGTCTACATACTAGGGTTAATGAGTTGAAACAAAAAAGCATTGCTTAAAATTTATCTAAATCGACAAAGGAACAGGATATGGAATATTTTAGCTGAGAGCTTCTCCAGATAGAAATTACCTACATATTTTTCGACAATCTTTATGACAACTTTAGATTGGAACAAAATATGTTGGGATTCTCTACAATTGCTAAACACCAACACTGGGTGGATAATTAAAGGTGACGTACTTCGCGTGCATCCTATTATTAAGCATTAGTAACCGGGTGAGGAAGATTATCCCATGTTTCAATGGGAAAATTCTTTGATATTGAAGAAGCGTTCGATAACATTGCAAGGTTTCCTCCATAGAGGAGCTGTTGATAGAGGGATTGAACCTATTACACGTGTATTAACCTATACGGTGGGCCATACCTTTTGCTAAAGACAAATTCATCTTGGTGCTAGGTTGATATGAGAGTATCATGTCATAAAGCGACATCTATATGGCAGTATTGTAACATATTTTCTTCAAAAATATTCAATGCAAAACCTGTACAGACGCCACTGGCAAAAATAATAAAATTGTTTGTACATCAGAAACTGCATCTCTATGAATAGAAGGCGTGTACCAAATTTGAAAAAATATCTAGGGTAATACCAAAGTTATAAAAAAGTGTTATTTCATAAAACTTTAGCACCCTGTAGTTCAAAAGTTAAGATTTTTAGGACATATGTTCATATGACGTTTTTTTCTTAAAATGGACCCAAGAATAACCTCCTTAAATATTAGCACGTTATTAAAAAACACAATATGTTGCTGATGCTGAATATGGACAATAGCCGTCATGAGCAACGGTGATGTTATAAAATCACCAACCGAGAAACATCTGGTTCGATGTGTCCATTACCGCGGATATTACGAAGATGTACACAATCTCTATAACCACGTCAATTTTAAAACAATGGTGGTCTTTTTTTATTAAACATAACTAGCTTATTAAACATCACTAGCGTAGTGCCCTGTGTGGTCGTAGAATTAGTTGTTTTTAACGTATATATAGTAAATGTAGCGAATAGAGGTGACTTAGTGCCGTGAGCGACATTAGCACTAAATGACTATACTCTGTAATTTCCAGCTCTGTTTGAAGAGCATTATTTTAAATCGGTTTTAATCCTGTTCAAATAAACCATCATAAATCTTAACAGTATTATTATTGGACAGAGAAAAATTTTAGAATAAATTGTTTACTTTCACGTTCGATTCTGTTAGTTACGTAGCGACATCCTAAATTTGGTTGTAATCCCGTAGGCGAAAGAATATAGCTTGCCAAAAGTTAATAAGAAAACGGAAAAGAAAACCATTTTTAAAATAATTTTCTATACTTATCATCTTTGGCATTGTGGTAATATC